AAGAATATAGATTCTAGGTGCACATACATAATGTGGTAAAGAACATTGCCCTTAAAATTTGCATTCTACTATTCATAAACTAAATGGTAGAAACACTATTATACAAAGTAAAATTATATTCAACTTGATAAATTAAAAAACTATGAAAACAAAATATGCAGTCAAGCAAATACTACCTTGCTGATTCTATATAAATACAGAATGGGAAACATCTGGTTAGGCAACAAATTTGTAGAAAAGGGTCTTGAAGTTGAGATAGGGCAGAGTATAGTACAATATACTTCCTGCTCAGACTAAAGGAAATGTATTCCATTTCAGAAAACAAAGAGTAAGATTGAAAATTATTCATAAAAAGAATGCTAGCCTTTTATCTCATAAAAGAAAAGTTACTGGAGGAATGTACTAAAAACATTCCAAAGTTTTAAACACTTAAAGAACATCATTAATTGTCAGCTCCACTTTCAATACTCACAACACTCTGATTTTCAGGAAAAACAATGTATATCAAACATTAGGAAAATCTTCCAAGAAGGACACTAAGCTACTGTAACAGCTATCAAGATATTGTCCATGGTGTTTAAGAGTTCAGATAAGCTTAAGATAAGATAAGTCACTGATGTTCTGAATCTCTTAACCCCATTGCAATGCAAAGGGGAAAACTAAACGAGCAGTCATCTTGCCTTCTAGCTCTAACTTATTAACCTTTCAAATATTACACAAAACTACTTGTAAGTCCTATTTCCTGGATGCAAAATATTAATTCTTTTCCTTATAATTTCAGTTCTAAGGATTCAGCCATCTGGGAGATGATAGTCTTTGGCATTCCACAGATTTCAGTGATGGAGATCAGTAATTGACTTTCCAGTCAAATAATATTAAATAATATTTTCTCTACTGTTTCAGTTAAATTCAACTATGTGACCAAATCATGCTAAAGCACAGTACAATGATCTCCTAACGAAGCCACGAGATAAAAAATACTGAAGTCGAGTTAAAAAATAAAAAGGCAGTAGAAAAAGGATGATCTAAAGACAAATAAAGCCCTTTATTAAATTTAAAAATCCTTGCTTGAACAAAGCCTTGAACTGATATTTGCACATCACATCAGGAACTATTATAGGAAAAGCAGGATTGCATTCTAGTCGAAGAGTAACCTAGCTTCCCAAAAGATGGGTGAAGCTATATTGTAAACAGAGTTCCAATCAGACTGACATCTAAACAAGTCTTCGAACACCCACACTTAATACTCATCAAGGTTTTAAAAGCAATCCTCCACAACACACAGATATTATAAGAGACCATTAAAAGCTACAGAATTAACTCACTGCAGGTCATCGGGATTTATGCTATAAATTCTCACACCCATTAAACTAAATACATGACAATGTGGGTGGTCTACAGCACCTTTCCAAGCACTTCCCTGGCACTGACCCACACTCTTGGTTGGCACTACTCCCTTAACCCCTCACCGTTCCTCTCATCCAGCTACTTATGCATTGCCAAAGGCAACACAGTACATGATATAGCCTGATGTGGTTTACAGTTATAATCATATTTAGCCAATGATTATGATTAAATTTTAATCACCCACATAAGAACATCCTACATACTGGAAAGCTATCATGCCCCCCCTGAAATTTCTATCTTTCCCTCAGAAGAATCAAAACTAAACTCTATTCAGTTTGTCTAGGTTTTTATTAAATTGTGTTCCCCTGTGAATCCTACTCATGAAGAATAGAAAGAAATAATCATATCTCCTCATTAAAAGTCATATGACTACAACCCAAAGTTGGAATTCACCTTTAGTGAAAACATATTGCTGTCTTTTATTCAGTTGATGGTCCAATATAACCCCATGAGCCTATCCTATGACAACAGTGCTTATGGAATTATTTCTCAAATTTTAGTTTGTCAGATTCTTACTTGCTAGAGTCCTTGGCGCTTGTCTCAACTGAAAACCTTCTTAATAACTTTAGATCCTTCCTCTAATTTATCAAGATCAGCATTATTGCTCTCCAAATATGCCTCAAACTACTTCAAGCTTGTTGCAAAACCACAGTTTTAAGAGTCATGCCCATATTCCATCACTGAAGCTATTAAAGAAAATAGCGAACAAAATCAGACCCAGGAGAGACCATGGTCTACCTCTAACATATACTCTTGGATTAACTACAAGTACTGACTACTACTTTTGAAGGCATCTTTCAAAGAGCTGCACAATTCAAGATAATCATCAGCTTTTCAATGTGGCTTCAGGCAATTTCTCTAGATTTCAGGGTACACCATCTTGAACATATTAAATAAAACTTCTAGAAATTGAGCCTACTGTTACAGTGCTGCAATACTAGGAGGGTCCTAGGAAATTTAAAAGATTTTTTTAAAAGTTGGTTGCTATGGAAAAAGGGGTTTTCATCATTAAGAAAAAAGAATGAGCTTAAGAAAAAGTGGCACTGAATAAAATCCTCAAGCTAATGCTGGTTACCCTACTGAATAATTATTGGACCATCTTTGGCATGGCTTGGAGCTTAAACACCCTGAAGAACTTTCCCCTACATTACCATCCAGTATTTAACAAATACAATTCTCAGTCTCCCTCTCCACCTATGGTTCTACCTTGTTCTTCTCTACCTATTCCAGCTCTCTCCTTTACGGGCTGGGAAAAGGTGCTCCTCTATTTTCTAGGCATTATCAAAGAGTTCTTGACTCAAGAGCACAGTTATTTTTTATACTGGTTTTCCTTTATAAGGCATCATTCTCAACTTCTTCCACATGTAGACAGAACAAGTGCTTTTAGCTGGACCCAACAGCAAGCCAAATTTTTTTATTACCCCCACTAATGACACTGTTTTCACACTGAGGAGTGGTCTTGTGCATAGGAATTCATTTCTTTTAGAAAAATCCAACCAGGCAGATGAATTCCAGGAATGTACCTAGGGCACTCCAACTGCTAATGAGGAACCAGTACAGGCACAGAGCTAGTTCTGAAACACAGAGATGACACAAGCCATGTTGCTAGCCTCATCTCCTTCTACCTGTAGATCTGCTTCTAAAAGGACACATTAATTCCCATGGTAGAGACTGGCCAAAGAAAAGCTGAACAGATGACAAGACAAACATGTTTTAAAAGTGTCATTAAAACCTTTACTCTCAAAAAGAGTTCCAAGTTTTCTTAGTCCATTCAAAGACAAACACTGAGTCTCAAATCACACAGGACATCCTGCTGGAGGGTACCTACTTAAATACTACGCTATTCTGAGCATTTGACAGAAGTTTTTCTCTCTAATGAACTTCTCGTTATTTAATATAACATTTTTTAGTTTCAACCTCTTTCAAAAATTGTATTCTTTCAACAATTAATGAGTAAATGCAAAGTCTATCAGGAGTAATATTTCTTCTAATTTGTTTACAATATTTAAAAATTTTACTCTTTTCGTAACAGAATCATAATTAATTGCATAGTTCCCTGAACTCAATAACACTAGTCAACTGAATAGGAAGAAGTGAATTTCCTTATTAAATCAATTCACTTTATTAGCTTAGGTGGAAAAAGTTGAACTGCAGCTATTCACACCTTTTCAAAATTCTTAGAAGAAAAAACAATGATTATATAATCAAAGTTCAACAAATGAAATGCCCTTCACATATTTTAGTTTTGCAAAGAAATACTAACAGAAATTTGTAAAGCCAGTAAGACACTTACTCTGCCTCACTTCCTTACTTCACATGATTATGAGACAAGTTCCACATATGGCAGCAGTGTAACATTAAAGTAAATTAATATATGTTTATAGAATTTCTACCTCTGCATAGTCTGCCGCTGTTTCACCATATCATTTATAGTGGCCCATGAAAAAGAGGGCTGTACATAACACAGATTTTTGAGTTGCTGGAACATTATACAGACAATTCATATTATATTAAACAAGAATTTAATTATTCTTCATAATATAAGACAGCAAAATACTGATAATCAAGATATTTCCCTAACACAACTCCAATCTTTATCAAAAAGAATATCCATGAAGCCAACAAAATAAATTCCCAGTTTCCTTACATCCTTACAGATGTGAAGACTGCTGAAGGAGAAGGAAGGTATGAGAACAAAGACCATAATGACACAGGAGAGTATGAAGCTGAATGAACAGCCAATCCAGATTTGGAGCAGAAAGATGGGGAAAAATACCTGTTTCCAAGTCACCAGGAGTATCTGATGTTTACTAAGAGTCAGCCTATCTATCAGTCTCTCTGGAGGAAAATGGCAGGAAGAAAATATCTTGCAACAGCACAAAGATGCTAAACTTTGAAAAAGTGTAACTTTGCTCCCACTATAACTAAAAAGCAGGAATATAGAAAAGGACATGAATAAAATTTCCTTTAAAAATAGTAATTCCATGATATTCATGTAAATCATTGTGCACTGTGAAATCTTGCCCACACTCTTATTCTATGTGGGAAATATTATTCAACACAAATTAGTTTCATCTTCAATTCAATGCTTTCTGTGTGATATCACCCAGTCAGCTAGTACTTTCAAAAGTTGTAGATTCTTTTTATTTAGTGTTATCACTACTTCATGATTTATATGGATATGCCATAAAACCACTAATACAAATATATTAATTTCTTTATTAAGAAAGGAGAAATTTTCACTACTTTTTCCATCACATTAGAAACATACACATGCACGCATCCAACTGAAAAGTGTAAAGAAATAAGTGATAAGAATTTTCAGCATAACAATGATCAGCTGTGTTTCATTTGCTGCATTACTGTGCAAATTGTATGAGCAACAGTAAGTGTTGAATAAAATGAGAAAAAAACTCCAGTTTTGGAATTATCTTATTACCTAAGTAATTCTACTTATCAGCAACACAAACAGTGCTTGGTTGCCACAATCAATGAGAAACAAACTGCCAAGAAAATAAAATGTCCAAAATTTTTAGTTTTAATATGCAAATAAATATTTTGGATTATGAACATTCATTAAATTCATGTCTTACCTGGCATGACAGGTGCTTGCTGAGTGGCCGAGTCTGTACTTAATGAAAGGCGACCACCTTTGGCCAATCTATCACAGAAGAGGGTGATGTTCTTCTTCAGTTTGCTGGTATCTTTGGGCATGGACAACTGGCTGCTGAGAGTCAGGGCCTGCTCCTTGGAGCTCTTTGACAAACAAGTTCTTAACAAGTAAGAGACTGCAGCATCCACAGTTTCTTCCCAACCCTACATTAGGGAAAAGGAAATTAAATAAAATTAGGTGAACTGCAATATGATATAGCATATTAAAAACAAGGCAACAAATCGTGGAATGAAAATTTTTAAACAATACTGATACATAAAATATAGTTTTGGGGTTAATGAGTGTCATGAACCCCAACTTCAACTTGTACAAGCAAAAGTTGAAAAAACCAACTTGTTCCAGTATTGAGGTTGACAGAGAAAACTAATTTCAATAATAACAATGTATGAACAGTATGTGATAGAACAGTTAAATTCTGTCATTGCATTAATAACTGAAAACTAGAAGCTCCTGATTGTGACATTTTAAAATTAAAAACAGAATCCAGATGTAAATAAAAGCATAATATGTATTATATAATATTATGATGATGATACAGCAAGGCCAGGGAAAAAATATGCATCCAATTATACATTCCTTGGAATCACAAAGATTCTCATAATATGCCAGTAGCAGAGAACATCATGACTGCAACAGAAACTTACAGATATTCAGCACCCATTTATCAAATCAATTAACCTTAAGTTATGAGCTGAGGTGTGTCAGTGTTGTGATGAACAGGGACTTTGATTTCAGCATAGTGCCAAGCTGTAAATATTTATGAAAAGACCAGCTTAGTAATCACTTCCAGTTAAAGCAAACAAATTATACTCTGTAAAAGCAAGTATGTTTCTTTTCACTAAGCACCTTGAACAGCACATTTAAAAGTTAGCTTTGAGTCTGTAATCTGTACTGTGGTTTTCAGTGACACAAACAAATCAAAGGCATTCCTTTAAGTAAGAATCCTGGATAGGAAAAGTCCTACTATTTGTGACAAGGTTATTAGGTTAATGCATAAAATCTAATATATGACATCTATCTCATTTTTGCAATATGACATGCAGATTGACTCCTCTTGATCTTAACATGGAGTCTTAAATTACACTCTGATGAGCTTATATGATTAATCCACAGCATCTATAATTAATGAACTTTGAGTCAGTCACAAAGCTTTCTCATGCCTGTTCATGACAATCTCACAGAGCTTGGATAGAGTTAGAAACTGACATAAAGGGCTTTGTGGTCTGCTAACTTCACTACTGACAACATCTCTTAGTATTTAGCCACCTGTAAGCAAGTTCTATGTATGTTCTGCCTACATGAACAGGAAAGTACATTTCATCACTGTAGTATTAATATTTGCTCTCTCAATGTTTCTGATGGGCTGGGACTTTTGGCAATTCTTTAGTGACTTCAGAAGTTTTGACGTGACAATCTGGAATAACCCAGCTCTACTTGCTGATAAACTAGCAGAAAATAACACCAAGACTGCTCTTTTTGAGGCAAGTACTCAGAAAAGAAAATTCAGGTACCCAGTTAACACAAACACAGAATCTTCTAGTTTTCAAGCACTTTCTCGTGATGTATTCTACTTGATTGAAAATGCTCAGCCAAACAGCAAAATTGCCTACCTACGCAAATTTCTATGACTCAGTAATAGTAACATTTGAAAGAATAATGGTGTCAACCCTGCCATAGCCCACTGAGCAAATAAGGTTTATAGATCTCTTCAATTAAATACATAATTGCTTTTGTGAAGGACACTTCTTTTAACACATAGAATCAAAGGCCACCTTCGTGATCTTGTTAAATTCCTAAGAACAGATCCAGGGCAGATGGTTACAAATGCTCAAGTATACCAGTGAGACCACACAGTCATATGCATTTCATCCTTGTCCAAACACTCTCTATACAGAGTGTCCCTGAAATGTGATGTGTGTGTATAAAATATTTACATTTTGTAGAGGAACAGGATCACCTAGTGAGGTTTTCTTAGTCAGCATTTGCCTTTCCGACTTCAGAAAAACAACATTAACCTACTATCTTATCTGGATTTGCCCCCCATAAAAAATCCATAAATTAGAACCAAACCCACATAAATTAGAAAAATCATGCCAATCAGCCAATCAATCAATTCTGTAGTAGCTTAACATTTTTCAAATATTCTAGAAAGAGTCCATTAGAATGCAATGCATCCACTGACCTGTGATGGTGACAGGAAATCATCCATTCTGCAGCCAATTTAAAGAGGTTAATGAGCTGGTAAATGCTGACTACATTCCCACACACTGGGCAATGAAACTTAATATGTACAAAGCACCAAAAACAGCCAAGCCAGCCACTCCTAATTATACTACAAATCATGAAAAATAAGAACAACATAAACATAAGAATCTTGAGTTTCACTAGAAGACAAAGAAACACATGATTAACTGTTGTCAGCATACAGTAGCTCAGAAGCTGGCCAATATGTCTCTCCAAATAAGTTGTAAAATTGCAGGCAAAAGCATTTAAATAAAAGCACTGAATTACAAGCTAACAAAAGTCAGGAAATTAAAAGTGGCTAGTATTCTGTCCTTGGCTCACACAGGTATGTTTTACTTTATACTACAGCCTTAACATTTTCCAACCCTTGTCTTGTATTTCATTTCCATGTAAAACTGGTTTCTCAGTAGACCATAAAACTATCTTCTCCAATTCAAGGTCTGTTGACCTAGTAAGTCCAGTCAAATCCAAAGCAGATTTTATGATTAATGAAAGAGTAGACAAAAGCTACCTCTAAATGAAAAAAAAAACTTGCTAGAAAACTGTTCAGGTGATTTTGTACAGCTAAGAATTAATGGCTGCAAATAAGACTGCATTTGTCAGCAATTTTTATTAGTGCAAGGGGAGAATTGCAGGAACAAGAAAAATTCTTCACATGTTAAAAAAGCTGAAAGATGTTTGAAAATAAAAGTATTCTCGTCTATAGCCCACACTGCAGAATGTTTCTACTGCCACAGCTGCAATATTCACTAATGGCTTTCTGTGTAGTATTCTGCATATTTGAGGACCGAAAGGATCACCTTCAGGTGTGTGATACCAGTAACCCATCATTCTATGACCAGCGAGCATTGCCGTGACTGCAACAATAAATGTCAGGCAAGACTCACAGGGCGAGGCATTATTAAATCATCCAAATTCTGTATCTTATGTAAATAGATAAGAAAAATATTTAATTCATCAGTTTTACTTTTTCATTGGGAAAGGCTAGGCTTCATGTTTTGCATATGTACATTATTATTTTTTTATTTTAGGTAATAGGAAGAGATTGGCACTTTCTTTTAACCAAATCAAATACACTGCAGGTATTGTTTGCAGAGTATTTGATTGTATTCAGTATTACATGGAAGACCAAAGGCAGACTTGTGATACTAGCATGGCTAATAGTATATTAGTACATATCACTTGTGTTCCATACAAATTGCCACAAAGAATCCTCACATGTCATGGAATACCTGAGTGTGACCATAATTATACATTCAATCTCACTTTGGCAAAAAGCTTCATCCAGAATACCTTGTTTGTAGCCTGACACTTGGCGGCAAGATTCCACTCCCCAAGAGTTTAGATGGTCAAAAACAAGGTCAACAAGATATAGATAGGGGCAGGATCTGAGAGAAGGATTTCCATATTGCTGTTGTTAAGAGACACAGAGCACCTATGTGTGGGAGAAGTTTGAGATGGAGCCTATTGTCAGATTTGACAGGTTTACTCATATAGTGTACCTTCTTAATATATTTAGAGTTAGCATATTTCAGAGATCTACAAATGAATACTATTTGTCTTAAGTACAAATAAATCATTCTAATAGCCTATCAGTCAAACTTGAACAAGATTCCTATGTTGTGTGCATAAGCCAGACAAGTATTTGATTGTATATCTTTTACCTTGAAAGCCTTTATTAATAATATTCCAAAGGCAACGGCCTTTTTCCAAGCTGCCTATGATGTAATTTATGATTTATCCAAGAGTGACAATCAAGGCAGCTCTGAAAGAATTCAAATGTAATGCGAAATATACTGTATAAACTATGGAAAATTGGTGCCAGCCAAATTATGGGAATTCTTACAATTTGCCTGTCTATATCTTATTTCTTTATTTTAGACAAAATAGTGATTTCATCAGTTTTCAAAACTCCTAGAATACTTGAAAGTTCACAATATGAATTACATACTGTGTAAGCTTTTATCCTTAAACACCAAAGAAGAGGTTTCTGTACCTGAAAGCATTGTATAAGCTAATTCACAAGAAACGCTCTTGTGTAAAAGCACTCTGCTTTTACAGTGATTAAAAACATTACCTTTTCGTTACACATACAAACCAGTAATCCACAGCTACTGACCTGGTAGTACCCAACACAGGCACACACCATCAGTAAATTTGGCCAGGAATTTATTGTAGTACCAGTCTTCCTAACTCATATTCTTCAAGCATATTCTATATTTCTAACTGATCTATTTGTCTCAAAGAGGAGATAACAGCCACAGAAACCATAAAGTAGGCATGCAACATCTGCCTGTGCTGTCAGAAATGGAAATTACAAACCCTCCTTGTGAGTGTCCCTGAAAAATTATGGCTAAAAACAGATTAATAAAGCCTTTAGGACACCTTTTGAAAAGAATTGGAAGAAAAGGCCAACCAGTAGACTCAATGTCTATTTAGCACCCAGAAAAAAAATGCAGCAAAATATTACTTAAGTCTTAATATATTATATCACTGAATGTGCCAAGAGAGTATATTCTTTAAGAAAAGGTTTTCTAAGAAAAAATAACTCTTGGTTGAAGAATTATACTTGTAACAATATAAAACCAGTTTTATTTAACATAATGCATTAGAAACACCAGTCACAGATTATCTAGAATCTTCTACAGTTCATATTTGAATTAAAAAAAAACAAAGCAAAAGCACCTTCACATATATAAACAACAAAAACCTACCACTGAGATAACTGAAAAACAGAGAACTGGCAAAATCCTACAGAGGAGTGGAATTCAAGTCTGATGAAAATCCAGACAAATGACTCAAGCTTAAATACATTCCAAACCTATTAAGTGCCTAAGAAGGACATTCGTATTGAGCACACAATAAAAAAATCTCAATTGAAGTTCTTAAACCTTCTCTC